GATTCCTGTGGCACATCACGTAAAAACGAGCAATTGCACAGCCCGCCAATGTGATTGCGGAAAATCTCTATCGATTATTTCTTCTTCCAAGCTGACCAATGGGATTGTACAAAATCTTTATCGATTTTCAATCAATTTGCTTCCTCCGAACGTTTCGGAACGTGCCGAATTTGTCCCTTGTCAGTTTCCCACTCGAAGGTTAGGACGCCTTGTTAACCAGCGAAATCCTTCGGGATACTGGCAAGTCACTGGAAGCGACCTAGCAGACCTAGGCCAAATTATTTCTTCTTATTTGGGGTTTTTCCCATCATGATTCTTTTCAGGTTAGGTCTAGCTTTTTCTTAAGGTTTTTGTAGCGTCTGGTTGTAGAGACGTGATTTCGCATGGTTTTTTTGGTCGGAGTTCGTCAGTTTTTTTCCGAGCAGAGCTAGAGTTCAGTTTTTTCTTTCCTTATCGAAAAGACCTTGACGATGGGAGGTTAAATCGCGTAAATTTCAACTCGTACCCTTGACGATTGGCGGTGAAATCGCGGAAATATTGTCCTCGTCGATCGATGACTCGCTTTCGACATGAATTGGACTTTTGGATGGGACACGGATCCGGACCTTAGTGAACTTATCATACCTAAGAATCATGAAAAACCGTTGGAACTTTTTTAACTTTGAGACCTTGGAAACACATTGCAATTTAGTTTTTAACCGGATCAAGAGCTTCTTGGAATATTAACTTTCATCTCGGATTAAAACATTGGAACTTTATTAACTATATCTTTCCAATTTCCTTTATTTTACCAAATTCAGATAGAACGCAATGATGCTTCCATAGACCAATGCATCCCACGGGAACGACTTAATGCGTCTTGTTATCTGTAAAATCCAAAATACATGTAAAGGAAGCTTGTGTAAATAAATGTTAAATACGCGACGGTTTGTAAACAAAGTCTCATGGCGCTTCTCGTTGCTTTCGAATTTTACTCGCCGATATTTATTCGATTGCCTGTTTGTGAATGGCTATCGGCATTATCGCAGTTGATTATCGGTGTCTACAGTCTGAGGGTGTCTTTTTTTCGCTGGTAACTTTACTTTGTAATTTGACCTCTTGACTAGAATTGCTGTTTTCGCGATATGCGATAGCATCTCCCTTTGATATTTCACCCTTTGTTTTTTTATGAGACGTGATTGCCTACATAAAAGTTTCGAAAAATCCAGAAACGTCCAGGAGCTTTGAAAACAATATTTTGTCTCGTGCAATACAATCCAATTTTGAAGTTAACATCGCGCAAGTTTTCATCACAGTAGTTGCAGAAAGTTCACGCGTATCATGTTCCATCGCGGAGGAAACAAGAGAGACTTACGAGAGATTATCTCAAAGGCCTCAAACTTTAAAGAACGCGCTAAATTTCCTAGTAGAGTTAAAACCATGTTTCACGAAAGTTTTCAAGGATCACGAAAGCAATTTCAGAGCAAGAGATTAGTCATGTTACGGACGGACGTGTATGTTACAGCTGATCTTTATCAAGCCAAGCGACGTTACAAAATAAACATGCTAATGCTTGTACCGGGGAGGGGAGCAGAACTCCCATATGAAAGGGGCGGGGATGCTCGTCGTCTCGCTTAGGGGTGTAAATTTCTGATTTTGGTCTCACTTAGGGTGTTCTGAGCAAAACGTCATTATATTAAGCCGTAAAGGTCTCTTTTAGGGTTGCACGCGAAGATATACATTTAATAGTCAGTTCGTTTTATTTACTCCATTCATGTAATCAAAGTCTTCTATAACATCAATAATTAAAGAACATTGCAACAAAATGGTCTCTTTTAGGGGTTAAAAAAAGGTTGGTCCACCCCCAGGTTGGTCTCCTTTAGGGGTTTTTTAAAATTTCCGACGAGCATCCCCGCTCCTTTCATATGTGAGTCCCCCGGGTAAAAAATATACATGTTGCGTGGCATTGCGCTACATCTCTTGCAGCGTGACGCGTCACAAAAAATAGCAAAAACCCTGTCAGGGAGGCAGCTCTGGTGGCCATTTTTTTCCCATTTAACCTCTGGGATAGAGGTAACCGTTTGACCTCTGGTGCCGAGGTTCCCATTTAACCTCTGGGACCGAGTTAATAGTTCGAGCACCTCCCTGCACTTGCTGGGCCGGAGTTTGGTGACCGTCAGCAAGCTGGACAGTCCCCCCCGGTAAGTCAATCTTCCGCACGGGTTAGTCAAGCAGGCTTCAGAGAGTTGGCCATCTCTCACCGCCCTATAACCCCACCGGAAAAATCAAACCTAACTTTGCCTCAGAAAATCGACCTATATATTTAGATCGAAAACTCATTTCGCTCACTTATGGTACGGTTCTTCACAGACGCATGCGCTTTGGGCCCCCAAATTGTTTGGACTTTTCGTTGATTCATACACAACATCCTCATTCACTCAGGCTATCATTTGTAAAAGTTGTTTTTTCTTCAAAATCTCGGCTAGCCCAGCTTTCCACAAACTCCTGTTAATAATAATATTTATTGAGATGACTTTTTCATCTAAAATATGGTTTTCAAAAAGGATCTCATAAAATTAAAAAAAGAAAATACAGAACACACAATTCGCAAAGACATTAAAAAGCTAAAATATGTAAAAACTATTAAAATGTACAAGATATTAACTCACATTCATTGAAATTACAAATTTAATAAGATTACGTTTAAAAATATTCAGATTCACGGATTGTCTGATTGCCTGGCTAAAGGAGTTAAAATCCTTGATGGCATGAAATGCAGTGCGTTGTTTGCCCCAATTCCTCTTGGCACTTGGAAGTCTGAGATTCAGCTTAGCTCTGGTATTATAATCATATTGTTCTTGCTGTCTTATGAAGTTCATATCATGCTCAACAAGTCCATTTAAACACTTATACACATAACTACATCTTCTCTGAAAATGCCCTTTTTCTAATGGAACCCGCTTATGAGTGGCAAGTGCATGCGTAGCAGATGAATAAAGAGGTCTGTCTAAAATAATTTTAGCCGCTTTAGTCTGCAAGACTTGCAAACTGGTCATTAAGGTTACATTATGCTTGTCTCCCCAAACAAGGTCTGCAGAATCAAATAAAGGCACGACAAGACTATTATAAAAAAGAAGGAGTGCACTAAAAGGTAGTAAGTGCTTAATGCGATTAAGGAGACCAAGCCTTTGATTAGTTTTGCCAGCAATGTATTCAACATGATTTGTCCATGTAAAATCAGATGATATAACAATTCCAAGGTATTTGAAGCTAATGACATTTTTTACATTGTGGTCGAAGATTAATACTATTACAGCCATTTTTCTTTCCAATTTCCTATTACTACCTACAAGCATACATTTGGTTTTCTCGAGATTCAGAGTTAGCTTGTGATTGTTTAGCCATTCCGCTACGGCCAACAAGTCGCGATCTAGATTATCACTGAGCTCCTGTGAAGATGAGCTGTAAAAGTAAATCACGGTGTTGTCTGCATAGAGGGATGCATTACAACAAACCATATGCCTATAGCTTAGACAACAAGATCTGATGTTCCACCTTGTCAAAAGCTTTTGTTAGGTCCAAAAACACGGCTCCACATAGTGTACCCTGTTCCACATTGAGAAGGACTTCATCAGCAAAGGATGTCACAGCAGATATAGTGGACAGTCCCTTCTGAAATCCAAACTGTTTTCCTGAGAGGCGTTTATTGGCAACCAGGAAGTGGTATAACTGTGTATGTACAGCTTTCTCAAGAATCTTGCTGAGTGTAGGCAGAATAGACATAGGTCGGTAGTTTGATGCATTTGTCCTGTTCCCTGAGTTAAACAGGGCTCTATTTTAAATCATTTCTGCAATTTAGGAAATTTACCAGTTTTATTTGATAGATTCAGTAACTTAGTAACAGATAGTGCAATCGTATGAGCAGAGTTTTTGAGCAAACTTGTGCTAATTTTGTCCAAGCCGATCGCCTTGTTTGTCTTCAGAGTGAGGTGCTGCTGAAGCACAAATGATTCCTCTAGTTCAGCCAACTGCAACTGAGACTTCGGCAAATCTGTTTTTGAATTACAACTCGGCTAAGTAGTTGTTATTTTATCAGCCAGTCGCTTACCAATAGACGCAAAAAAGCTATTCATTGCTGAAGCAATAGATTTAGGTGTAGTGTGCTGAATTTCATCAGAAATAATGCACTGGACACTTTCTGAAGTAGAGTTGCGATAACAAACTTCATCGATCTCATTCCAAACTTTTTTCTTCGCATTCCCTTTGGCATCCTGAAACAAGTCACAGTAATACTTCATCTTGCCAGATTTAACTAAGCAGTTGACCTTGTCTCTCAGTTTTCTATAGGTGTTCCAGTGTTGCGAGGAGTTTGATTTCAATGCCTTTCGATGAATCTAGTCTCATTCTCTCATTGTTTCCCTGATTTTATTATTCATCCAGCGAAGTGGTGTCCATGTAACACGCTGCCTTTAGATAGGTGTGTGAGAATCTGCAACCTCAGAAAACAATTTATTCCACGTGAACAGGGCGTCATCTATATTGCTTTCGTTCTCAGTGATGCGCCACGGAACATTCCTAAGTTCATCGTTAAATAAATTAGCATCAAAATTCTTATAAGAGCGATACTCAAATGATCTCAGTTGGGCCTTAATAAAAACACCAGCTTTCAAAATGCAAAACACCAAGTAGTGATCACTCAGCAGAACTGGAATAACACCAGATTTAACAACACGATGATCATTATTGACAAAAATTAAATCAGTGTCCTAGAGGTGTCAGTTATTCGAGTGGGCTCTTTTATTAACTGAGTCAAGTCAAAAGTGCCCGAAAAATTGAGTAGTTCGTGTTTATCATTTTTTGGCAATTTCGAATTGGACATCATATTAGTGTTAAGGTTTCCTAAAATGATCACATCTGATTTTACCAGGTCAACATTAGGCATGCTGAAATAAAGGTTTGGAAGTCAGCATTTGGAGCTCTATAAGCACAGCAAATTAACGTGGGTTTGCATTTGACCCGAATCAACTCAATCCATAAACATTCCTGGCTGCCAGTGTTAATGTCATTCCGTAGACGAAATGCTGATCCTTCCCTGATATAAATTGTAACACTACCATATCCTTCTTTCTCTCCAATGCGGTCTTGTCTAACACACACAAACCCAGGAAGTTTAATTTCCACATCGCTTGTAGAGCTGTCCAACCAAGTTTCAGACAAAGTGCGTTGATGGTCTTGTTGTCAATTCCCTCGAGATGCAAAGAGTGATTTTCAAGTGAGTAATCTTGAGACCTCGAGTGGTCTTAATACCATCGAATGTCAGGTAGCCAGGATTTGACTCAATATCTCTAGCCAAGGCAATAAGAGTCAAGGCAAAGCAGGTGTGCTGAAAAAGTTTACAGAGCATTACGCCCTTCTGAAGGCGATCAAACTCGTACCTATGGGTCGGTTGACTTTGGCGAAATGAAGCTCCTGCAATTTCAGTCCTGCAATTGATCTGTGAAATGAAAAATGTTTCTCTGTCGTCTGATAAGGTGTTCTCCCATGAGTATGAAATCCTATGACGTTCGAAAGCCACGTAAATACAGAGAAAGACACATAAATTTGCTGAGAGCCTGAAACTGCGGCCAGCTGCCATCGTCAATCAATAGGGAGCATTGAGTTCCTTTCAGTTTGTATTTGAGGAAACTTTCCGACTTGAAAACAGTAGGATGACTTGTATTACTAGGATGACTGGGATAACTAGAATGACTAGGATTACTGGGATGACTGAGATGAATAATTGGACGAATAGGGTGACTGGGACAACTGGGATGACTACTAAGGATGACTTAGATGACTAGGATGACTGGTATGAATAGACCCATTGGTAATATTATAATAAAATTCACACTTGGCTCCGAGGCTTGGGGAAATAAAACAAAAGAAATCATCTTGAGGCTCAGCAATGAATAATACATTTCTTTTGTTTTATACCCCCGAGGCTGGGGGCCAAGTATGACCGTGAGGAATGGGATTACTGGGATGACAAGGATGACTGGTATGAATTGGATGGCTAGGATTTCTGGGATGACTGTAATGAATGGGATTACTGTGGTGACAAGGATGACTGAGAGTTGAGCACAATTATGCAAATTTAGAGCGCTTTTGCTAGTTTAAAACAATTTGTTAAATAAGATAGTAGCTTGTTGGTGTAATAAATGACAACCAATTTATGATTTTTACAACTTTCTGATTATGTCATTTCATATACAGTCTGAAATTGCTTTGAAAACATTTTTTAGTGTCATGCAATACAATCCGTTCGTGTAATTTTTCATCACAGTAGCTGCAGTCATGTGCTAGGCAACAAGTAGTTCATGCGTATCATCTTCGCAAAAAAATTAGCACGCCAATTTTGTGAGAGATTCCCTGAAACTTTAAAGAACACAGTAAATTTCCAAGTAGAATTAAAATCATTGTCTCTCAAAAGTTTCCCAGGATCATGAACACAATTTCAGAGCAAAATATTAGTCACGTTATAGACGGACGTGTACGTTACAGCTGATCTTTATCAATTTAAGCGGCCGGATAAGCCCAGAATTGTTTGACGTTACAAAAAAAACATGCTCTTGCTTGTATGCGAGTATGCACTGTTTGTATGCATTAGGAGCAGGCATTTGAAACTTTATTTGAGAAAACAAAGGGTGATACAGCTGGCCTTAAAGAAACATTCGCTTTATAACTTGAATTAGTCATGTTTAGAGTATACAGTCGCTTGCATGAATACAGTTGACTTCCGATAACTCAAACCTTCAAGGGAAATCGAAAAAAGTTCGAGTTATCTGGAGTTCAAGTTATCGGGAGCTTGAAGAAAATAGCCGAGAGTAAGGTAAAAAACACTTTTCACTGCACAGTAAACATTTTAATCACATTTAATTGTAGAAATGTCAAGTGAAAATTAAAAGATACTTCTAGATTATAAATCAGAACGTAATGTAACAAAAGGTAGCCTAAATAGAGCATGCATTTTACTGTTTTGAGAAGTAAAGCTGCTTTATGTTAGCCCGTGACCATCAACATTAGCCTCCACTAGTGAACTATGCTCCTACAAACATCAATAGGAAATCCTAAATTCTACGTTTTGGACGCCAATAGATGGCTTTTTTCCCGACTTTTCAGGGCCCAAAACATGGTTCAAGATATCGAGGGTAAAATCATATAGAAAATGACCTGAGGGGAAATGAAAATTGGTTCGAGTTAGCGGGATTCGAGTTATCATGGGGTTCAAGTTACCGAGGGTAAAATTACAGTGAATGTATGACGGAAATCCAGGGGAAATCGATTTTGGTTCGAGTTAGTGAGGGTTTGAGTTATCGGGAGTCCACTGTATAACCATGCTGCGTTGTGTTACAGCCATACAAAATTATCGAGAAATCAGTCATGGGTAAATCTTTTGTTTTCCTTCTTGCAAAACTCGATCCTCGACTTGATTCTCGATAGTTTGTTCTTAATTCTTGATTCTCTATTTGCGCAGGAATCGAAAATCGTGAATCGAATCGAGACTCGCAATGGACTGTCAACTTACTTTTGAACGGTACTGTAATGATATGTGCTAAATTATTCCAACAATGGTTGCTCACTGGTATTCATGAAAATGAGATACAGTCAAAGCTTTTGTAATTTGGGCACTAAGGGGACAATAGAAAGTGTCCATATTAACAGCTTGACTGTATTGAGAAGGTGGAATTTAGAGAAAGTGTAATGGCTTTCTTTCCCCAGGAACAAAGCAAACTCTCCATAATAATAAGCTTTCTAAACTAAGTGGGCATCTGTAAAGCAAGGTTTGAATGTCATGGGAAATTGGTCTTTTCTGAAAATAACTGATGAGCTTCATTGAATATATTTAAACTTTTGTTTCCAGATCAGATGCCACAGGAACACTGGACAAGGATCTTCATGAGCCAAGAGCCTCTGTTATCTTCAATACTGTAAGTGCTGTATGTTTTGTGTTTTAATTCAGCTCTTAAGCGAACCAGATGAACAGAACTGTTTGGTTAAACGTTTTATTAAGCTATACCATGTACCTTAAATTTTTTCATTTGACAGTTATTTCACCATCTAGTGTACCACAGTTGGGAGATAAGAATTTTATCAATCTTTAATAACTGTTTCCAATAAAACAGAAAAATTAAAAAACGAGATGTTTTGTAAATAAAATGCAAAATAAAAGAGAATAATTCCAAATTAAATAAAACCCGCCTGTATTTCCCAGTAAACCCTGTAACCACCAGTAGTACAGTAGCCCCCCTTTAACCAGCTGAAACCCCCTGTAACCTCTTGTACTCTCTTGTGACCCCCTGGAACCCCTCATAACCCCCTGTAATTCCTTGTTATCCCTTATAACCCTCATTAATGAAAAGGAAGAGTCAGACTGGTTTACAAATTGAATCTGAAACAAATTAAAAAAAGAAATTTTGCCTTTAAGGGTAATTAATAATGATCTTGACGCTCAACTGAATAAATGACTGACTGACTAACTGAGTAACTGAATAACTGCCTGACTGACAGACAGAGCAACTGAGTAACTGACTGGGTGACTGGATGACTAAGCAATGTACTAACTGACTGGCTATGTGACTGACAGACTGACGAATCAATTCAGTGACTAACTGACTTACTAACTGAGGAGCTAGCTAAGTGACTGTCCTGACTTACTCACTGACCAACTGACTGATTGACTGACTGATCAACTGATTAATTTGCTTTGCTAGCCATTTTGACTGACTGACTGAGCAACTAAGTTACAGGCTGACTGTCTGCTTGAAAGGAGGATATTACCATCTTCCCAGCATGCCTTGTGCCTTTTATGGGGTGATTTTTTACGGTCTGTGATATGAAAACATGAATCTTACCTAAAGTTTTGGAGAAATGTTCGCTGCTTCATGGATAAGATATGGAGGTGAAGTAGGTTTTAGCGTAATTTCTCATCTTTCAAGAGGATGACAGAATGATTTTGTGATTAATTAGTTTTTTTTTTGTAAGACTTGACTGTGTGACCTTTCTCTCGTCATGTGTAGCTGCTTATCTGCTGTATACATAGTATTTTTGAATAATTCATTTCAGTGATGAAACAAGGAGTCGATTTAGAATTGAGACAGAAATCCACTCTATCGTACTTAAAACATTGTAACGAACCCAGTCAACTCCTTTTGACTCCACATTTTCCCAGACCAACCTCTAATTCGAAGCGATGTAACTAAATTTCTTGGAGTGTACCTAGACGAACATCCTACTTGGAAATATCACATAAACTTTGTCTGTAAACAAATCACTGAATCAATCAGTATTTTATCCAGGATGTTTCTACTTATCTTGTAAGACCAAACTCACGCTGTACTACACATTAATTTATCCTTATATTACTTATTGTAACTCCATGTGGTGGTCTACTTACATATCTAATTTAAACAGAATTTACTATTTACATAAGCGGGCTGTGCAAGCTATTACTGCTCCTCTATTCTCCAAATTGGAATTTCTAGATATTTTCCAAGTCAATACGCTTGATACTGCTAAATTTATGTTTTGCAACCACAATAATCTGCTGCCTCCACTCTTCCACAATCTGTTTATGACAAACAGTCAAGTCCATAGATATGACACCAGAACAACCAGTAATTATCGGGTGCATTCCTGTTGTAAGAACACCAAGAAATTTACAATTCTTTACAAAGGACCTAGAATCTGGAACTGTCTTCCTGCATCTTTTACAAACTTGTCAAGCTTTTCTGTATTTAAGAACAAAGTGCTAGAGTTTTTATTGAAATAGTTATTGATCAGAATTAGTTTAGCCGCACTTCTACGCAGCCCTTATTGCTTATAATATTTTGATGTCGAGGTGGCCTCCCTTTATAAGCCTGGTGGTTTCTTGAGGTCTCCTCGCCTAACAACCTGCTGTATCCTGTAAAATTTGTTGTAACAAAGGCTAATAAATAAATGATGATGATGAAAAATTTTATCATCAATGTGGAGTATTTTTAGGGCTATCTGTTATGATGAGAAACAAGCTCTCCCATTGCGCGCGGAGTGCATTTGGTAATATTTTCGACAAGTTTCCTATTAAAAAGCATTATTTTTCTTTTTCATGCATTCAGACAGGAGATTACTGTATCTGTAGTTACTGTTTTGTGGTAGTAGTGTTGAAAGTCAACAGTGTTTGAAGCTGCGAAAGGTGCATACATGTCGGTTCATACATCGATATCATAGATATCTACTAGTCATGTTAATTATAAATGTATTAAAAATCACATACTGAGTTTCTCACAGCCAGGTTCTTTTATACCTTTGATATTCAATTCATAGTTTACTACAAATTGCGTAGCCAGCATTTGAGAAGTATAATTTAATTTTTATTTCATTGCGGAC